TATCCAATTACATTTAACTCTTTTCTTAGCTTTTTCATTTCTCAGTTTAAAATTATCTTATGGCTTCATCTTTTTTATAAAATTACATTGCTAGTTTACTTACAATGGGCCCAGCTTCCCCAAGGTATTCATCACCATCAACTGTCATCTCCTTACGTGCCACAATATCTGAACCATCAAAGGACAGCACTAGGTCTTTAGATATCTCATCATATATATCACTAAGGACACTGTCCACGTCAGGACCGTAGCCATTCACAGAGAATGCCAGAATGATGCTGCCTAATAATTATAGTAAAACACAAGTGATTACTAACTGAAGAAGATCTAATTAATTGTTTGATAAACTAACATATATTAAAACTGGACAAATCATAAGCCACTGCATCACAAAAGCTTCATATTCCAGGACAGAATTTTATAGAAATTTTAAAACTAGTATATCTTTAACTTGAGACCTACCTTTAGTCACAGCCCAGCTACCCAGTGTAGCATTGGTGTAGTACTTCGGCACAAAATAGTTATACATATTAGCAATAAACATGCTCTCTTTGTTGAGGACAATAGCATCATAATCGGCATCAAAGAACAACTGGACGGCCTTGGTGGTGTCAACAGTGACAGGAGTATAGCTACTGGGCATGATGTCCATAGCTGCACTGGTCACAACAAAATCATAATCTGCAGGGTTGGAGGTGACATGAACATCAATAAGAACTCTCATTGGTGAGGTAGGGGCCATGCTAAGGCTGAACTGTCCTGATCCTGTACTTGGGTCAATAGTGACTGTATCAACACCAGAGAGGACACCGACATTGCTGGTTAAGCTGTTGAGACTAGCACTGGCACTCCAGGTGTGACCCTGTTAACAATAATGAGCATGACAATATGTACTTTGAAAAATGACAAAATATGTTAGTAAGATTGAAGATGTACTTTTTTTTTCTTTTAAAGCTTACACAACGTTGGTGGCAGAAATTTCGGTGATAAATGGTATAATATTTGGAAAATTATTATGTAAGATTATTCAGACACATGTAGAAACAACACAAGTACCATACATTTCTGTCAGTATGGAATATCAACATCCAAATGAACCAAATAAGACGTAGTAGTATTTACCCTCCATGCGATGTCTTCATGTTTCAGCTTAGTGACACCATGGATTATCTCAACACTGAGCCCCATATCTCCTCCAGCGGACAACATTGATCCACTGCATGCTACATTGGCACTGAGGGGAGTGATTGGGACAGAAAATGCAGAAGTGGTCATGTTAAACCCTGTCCCCTCAGCTGGGTTCGTCACAGCAAATAATATCTGATACCCAGACCCTCCATGTGACACACCTATATCACTGAAATTAGCCTGGCCAGCAGAAAACCTGCAATAAAACATAACATATTTTTGAACCATAATACTAAGAGATTGTGGTTTACCTAGTAGCCTAATAAGTAAACGAGGAACTACATATTCTGAGTATGTTAAGAATGAAGTGCAAACGGATACATACTGTACAGTTGTGTTTCCAGTAAGAGTGGCACTAGGATGAGAGCCTTGACCAAGGATAAGTGTAGCAGTCATTTCCCAAGGATTGTGGAAGGATCCCACAGCAGACAACACATTTCCCTACAACAGTACATACATATTTGAAGGAATGTTTGGTTGACAATGACTAAAATGTACTTTTGTGGTTTTGGATTGTGCTAATGACTGCCTTTAGTGTACTCCACATTTTCTATTTCATTTATTCCTATGTAATAGTATCATTGGTTGAAATGCATTGTATATATACATACTGAAGCTCCTAGCAGGTTAAATGACGGAGCAGTCAGGAAGGGAATACCCTCGTAAAGTATCTCCATAGGTGTAGAGTACTGCAATGTCTCTGGCTTCTGGTAGCTTACCCCTGATCCAACCTAATTATAATTATGAATAAATACTTCAAAATCACAAAATACATACATAACTTTAAGTTATCTATGCAAATGAACAAAACAGCATTCGCTGAATCAAAATTCATGCAGCTGCTAGTATTGCTAACACTTATAGTAGTATTTAACATAAACATTATTAATTGTTATTTCAATATTCTATTCCTCATTTCAGGCACACACATTTATGCTTTGCAATGAAATATTTATATTTCTTGAGGTACCTCTTCATTATCAACAAATGTTTCCCAGCTAGGATCAGAGACATCAGGAACTGGTTCATAAATGACAATATCAGTTATGGTCGTGTTCAGCAACTCCCCGATTGTGCCAAGCTGGACACAATCTACAATGGTGGCAGAGGCAGCTGCCAAATCAGCAGAAGTCAGGGCTCCTGGTTCTGTTGTATTAGTGAAAGTAGTGCTTGGGGACTCGCCAATCTCAAGAGTAATTGTGCTCCCATCTGTTGATCGTTTGTTAAACAATGAACGTCGCTTCCTGCCAGAATTTGCACTCACAACTTCCATGACCTTTATCTTGCTGGGATCAATCTTTAGCAGACTAGCCAAATTACTGACAAGGTTTTCTCCAAAGAAGTCATCAACTGTGATAGCAGGAGAGTTGAAGCTCACGTACAGAACGGATGTCTGCTTGATGGTGATTGGTGTGCTTCCACGTATCAACAAATAAATCTCCCTGCTATCTCTGTCAACATAGTTATCTCCAGCTTGGCCATTCTCAATGTCTGGGTGGTACTCATCAAATGTTGTTGGAGCTTTCAGTATCATATCTCCGTCGTCATTGTAATCATGATTAAGTGGTGGAATGTAGACCCCATCAACATAAACATCAAGACGGAATGGGGCTTTATAGAAGATGGCTGTCCTCACAGTCTGAGACTCGACAGAATTTAGCAAATGCAGCCTCAGATTCTGGGGAGTGGTACTTGAGAAGTACAAATCATAATGTTTTCCTGAAACAAAATATATGAAAATCAGAGCTATCCTAGAATTTCTTATTTTAGATAATTCAATTTGCATGTTCTTTGATAACATTAGAAAACCACCCTTTCTCTAAAAACATAAATCTTAAACTACATGTAGAACCATTCAGAGCCTATTGATGAGATAATTCTTAGTTCAGCTTATTTATTTGCATTATAAGATATCAATACCTGTTGCAACAATGGAATAAAATGTTGAGATACGCTTCTGACATGTATAACCAAAGCACCAGCCATGGTCTTCTGGCCCATTGATTAGGTCAACATACTTGTCACCTACAAGAGCTATGGGTGAGAGACGACGCATTTCTGTGTCCTTATCCATACTTTCAATGACCATCATCTCATAGTCTAAACCATGACATTCGTACGCCTGCCAATCATCATTCAACACGCAGGATGCATCACGTATTATACCTAAAAGTTGAATCAAGGAACACATTAACTCTGCAGGATGTAGACATTTTAAAATTAAATTCAATACGATGAATACGAATATTGCACGTCTGGAATATCAATACTAAAGAAAGAATGTACATGTACTCGTACCACCATTGTTCATCACAATTGAAATCCTTTTTTCTATCAGCCCATGGCTCTTAAACAATTCGAAACATCTTACCCAGTAGGCTTCATATGAAAGTAACCCACAAACATTTAATTCATTTTGGTTGTACCTTTGTTAGGACAGACATCTTCTGGTAACAATCGTGTTCCATCAACCATTGTAAGATATGCCTTAGGTATACGATGATCTCCAATCCCTCTTGCCCGATCTCCATCCCAGGCCCACTCTGACTCTGGTATGATTG